CTCGTGCTTGCCAGGCAGGTGCTGTACGGCTGAGCTAAACCCCAGCCCCCAGATCCATTTTTTAATAACAAAATGTTAAAGTCATTAAATCCACCCTCATCCACAGAATTCATACCTTATAAGGGTACATAAGGGAGCTGTGCCCATTTTAGAACAAGCTCTAACATTTTATGATACTGGCCAATTTAAAAGGACAGGAGGACTTTGCATGTTTGAGCTTTTGGTAGCATTTATCCCTTGATCAATCAAGAGAAATGCATTCTATCTAACTGAAATCAGTCCCCCTGTAAAGCTCCTTTGGTGCTGCCCTGTTCTTTTCTTACTACCAAAGTTGCTGGCTAACTTCTGACTACTGATGTTGGGGGACTCATTCAACACATATTTAATGAGCCTGGGACTCTTAAAGGCACAGGATACAAGAAAATTTCTGTCCCTATGTGACATATTCTACAGGAAAAGAGATACAAATAAACAAGTAAATATATAATTCGCCAAGTGTCCTAGGGAGACATTTTTATATAATTTGCCTATAAGTCCTAGGGAGAAAAATAAGAGAATTAGCCAGGCATGGTGGGGCATGCCTATAATCCCAGCACTCGGGAGGCTGAGGCAGGAAGATCACTGCAAGTTCGAGACCAGCCTGGGCTACAAAGTAAGCTCAAGGCCAGCCTGAACTGCATAGCGAGACCCTGTCTCAAAAGACAAAAATAAAAAATAAACAAAAAAATAAAACAAGAGAATTGATTTTTACCATTTTTTATAGGATGGTCAGCCTCACTGTTATGTTTTTGTCTTTTTGAGACAGGGTTTCACTATGTAGTTCAGGCAGGCCTTGAGCTCACTTTGTAGTGAGCTGGCCTCAAACTCGCAATGATCCTCCTGTCTCAGCCTCCCGAGTGCTGGGATTGATTACAGGTGTGTGCCACCAGCCCTGGCTAACCTCACTGTTATGATATTTGAGAGACTCTGAAGGAAGAACAGAGGACGTAAAACAGAAAGAGATTTGTAGACAGAACAACATGAGTACTGTACATGGAAAAGCTTTGGGGTGGGAATATGCCTGGCAGGTTTGAGGAAATGCTAGGACACTGTATGAGAGATGAGGTAGATATTTGGCCAGGCATTAGATCACAGAAGGTCTTACAATTCTTAAATTCTTATAAAGCTATTGTGATGCTTTGAGCCTTTACTTGGAGAAGGATGATACCACTAAAGGATTTATTCAGGAGAATGAGATGATCTGATATGGTACACTTTTTTCACAGTACTGAGGGCTTTCCCACTGAGCTATATTCCCAGCCCTTTCTATATTTTTTATTTTGAGATAGGGTCTTGCTAAATCAACAAATTACCCAGGCTGGGCTTGAATTTGTAATCCTGCATCAACCTCCCCGAATGTGGGGATTAAAACTGTGCACCACTATACCCAGCTTGATTTATATTTTAAAAGAATCATCACATGTAGAGATTAGACTGTAGGGGACAAGGGTTATTAAATCTTGAATGTCATTATTAATATGTAGCTAGATTACCTAGGAAAGAAGTGTACACATGGTTAGTTGGCTAGCTATTTCTTTTTAAATTTTTTCATTAGATACAAGCTGAAGTTTTTTAGCAGTTAGATTCATTATTCTTAAGGAAGCCACAGAAAATTTGAGGGAAACAAGATATAAAGTCAGTGAATTCTAAGGAGATACGGAAGCATACATAGGAAAATATTTGGGCTTTCATAATTTAAAAAAAATCACTATTAATAGTTAAGTGTTACAATAAATAGCAGTCACCTTTCTGTCACTGTGACATAATACCTGAGAAAATCAATTTAAAGGAAAGATTTATTTTGGCTTATGGTTTCAGAGGTTTCAGTCCATGGTCTCTGGTTTCTGGGCCTATGGTGAGGCAGAACAGGAGGGTGGTAAAGCAAAGCTATATACATCACAGTGGCTGGAAAGCAGAGAGAGAGGGAAAGGGGTCCAGGACAAAATACAGCTTTCAAAGGCATGTGCCCAAGGACCTACTTTCTCTAATGAGGCTGCACTTCTTAAGTTTCTACTGTCTCCCAATAGCCCATTAAAGTATGATTCCATCAGTGGACTAATGCACTGATGATGTTAGAACACTCATGATCCAATCACCTTTCAAAGGCTCTACCTCTGAACACTGCTACATTGGAGGCCAAGACTTCAATAGAGGAGATTTTGGGGGCCACTTCAAATTCCAACCAGAAGAAAAACTAAGACTGAGCATTTACTTAACATTTACTACTCAGTCTTAGTTATTGCTGTGTCTCATACATTTATTGTTAATCTTTACATCCTGTGAGATACATGTTAATATTTGCACTGTGAAGATGAGAAAATAGAGACTTAGCAAAGTTAATTTGTCCATATTTACATAGCTGACCTAAGGATGTCTGACTTTAGATAGAAACTGTATTTTTGATCACCATATGTATAATAGACCTGGTTTGTATTTCTGATGGGATATGGGACAGGAAAACTGAATATAAATGTTAAAGAACATTTGATTAATAGAAAGAATCCCTTGTTCATAGATTGGAAGACTTAAATTTTGTTAAGATGGTCATATTTCTCAAATTGATCTTCAGATTCAGTGCAATCCCTAACAAAATCCCAGCCTGCTTTTTTGTAGAAGGAATGTAAGAAAAAAGTAGGACTTTATGCAAATTAAAAAATTTTTATACTAAAATGAAAGCTGGGAATGGTGGTGCATGCCTGTAATCCCAGCACTTGGGAGGCTAAGGCAGGAGGATCACTGTTCGTTTGAGCCCAGCCTGGACTACACAGTGAGGCCCTGTCTCAAAAAAACGCAAAGAAACAAAATAAAAAACCATATGATAAAGAGTATGAAAAGACGGGGCTGGGGATTTAGCTCAGTGGCACAGCCTCTGCCTGGCAAGTGAGAGGTTGTGTGTTCGATTCCTGGTACCGGAAAAAACAAAAAAACAAAAAAAAGTATGAAAAGACGTCAGACACTTATAATGCCACCTATAATACCAGCTTCTCGGGAGGCTGAGGGAGAAGGATCACAAGTTTGAGGCCAGCCTGGATCATTTAATGTGCTCCTGTCTTTAAATAAAAACAAAACAGAACAAAACAAAAAAAGGACTAGGACATAAATGTTCATAATAAGCAACTCTATAAAGACAAAGTAGATTAATGGTTGCTTCAGGATGGGGCAGTTTATTTGAAATATACCTAGAGATTGATTGAATTCATATTGAATGTTCAGAATATGCAAATCTCAAACAAACAGTAGATTAGTGGTTGCCTGTGGGGGTGTGTTTAGAGATAATGAGGAGTGGCTGTTAATGGGAACAGGGTTTTGATTTTGTGGGGTTTTTTCTTTACTTTTGAGTGGAAAGATTTTTCTAAAATTGATTGTGGTGGTGATTGGGCAGTTCTATGAATCTAGTAAAAATCATGCATTGCATTTTTAAATGGGTATATTACATTATTTCAATTATATCTCAGTAAAGCTATTAAAAATAGTCAACCAAATCACTAAACAATTATACTGCATGGTTAGTAAATACAACAGAGATGACATAAATAATTTTAATACTGATCATTTTTTAGGTCATGAAATAAAAATTGTCTCTCTTCAGATATGCTTCACTTCAAAGCAATGACATTTAGCTGTGTAATAATATGGAGTGGACTTTTTTTTTTAATGGTGCTGGGATGGAACCCTGGGCATGTTAAACAGATGATCTACCACTGAGCTACATCCCTAGCCTGTGCATACTTTTAAGGGCACAAATCAAGCTTCAAGTCATTGACTTGCAGCCTGGCCTTTTGGTGGTGAAAGACAGATAATGGTGTATGTATTTAAAGATATGTGTTAAGGCTATACTTTCAGGGATCATTTCTATAGTATGTAAAGATATGTGTTTATTCATTCATTGAATAGATTTTTACTGAAACCTAGCATGTGCAGGGCATGGTACTAGAACTGGAGATAAAATGGTGAATAATCGTCTCTCCCATCAACGACCTAGTTATGCATGTACATATATGCA